GGGGACCAGGAGCTGGCCGTGCGCTCGGGGCTCCTTCCCGGGCTTGGTCCACACAGCAGGCCCACGGCAGGCGCGCCCCGGCAGGGAGCTGACGCCCAGGCGGCACGCGGGCACGCTGGCCCTCCCAGGTCTCCTGAGGAGCCGGGCGGGGCTACTTCTCAGCAGGCGCCTGGCCGTCCTCTCCCCGCCCACTCGCGGGAGGGCTGGGTCAGGGCGCAGCGCCGGCCTCCTCACCGGGCGCTCCGGGGGGCCCACGTCGTCCCCCAGGGTCCGCAGCGCGCTCTCCCTGCAAAGGGAGAACGGGCGCTGTGCGAGCTCCGGCTGCGTACATGGGGCCGGCACAGTCCTCGACGCCCGGCTGGCGCGGCCGCGGAGGCCGAGCGGGCAGGCGTGTGTGCGGGCGCCAGCCCCGGGCTCCAGAGTGCACCCCAGCGCAGCGGGGTGCCCTGCTGGAGCCTGCCCGGGGCTTCCTGGGCCTGGGGGCTGTCGCGTCCCCTGGCAGACCCCCTCGGGCCGCAAGCGAGGCCCCTGCTCCCAGGGGTGCAGAGTGGACCCCCACCGTAGGCGATGACAGGCGTGGGGGACGGGGCTGGCACAGAGACTCCATTCTGGGGCAGCTGCAGGCCTTGGGGTCTCCCTCTGGTCTCACCCCGCAGGAGCCCAGGAGGACGTGGGCGACCCCGCCTTGGACACTGCCCCTGGGCGCCCACCCGGCTGACCGGCGCCCTCCTCAGGAGCCCGACTGCTCTGAACCCCCTCAGCGGCCACTGTCCTGCCCTGGAGGGGCAAGCTGGGGAGGTGCAGGTGGCTGAGCCTGGGGCTCCCTGCCAGACATGAAGGCGGGGCCCTGGTGACACGAGGGGCCACCCACACGGCTCCCCGTCTTAAAGGCATGGGGGCCGCCCCTTCTGTCACCTGAAGCCCCGACACCATGCCACCAGGGGAGCTCCCCATGACTCCCCTCCCCCCCAAATCCCGCCCACAGCATCTTGAGGAGGCGGGGCTCCTGGGTGATGGGGCGGAACTCCCCGTGACAGTGACTGGGGGGGTCTCCCGGGAGGACAGGGGCCTTTCCGGGGGCGGGGCTCCCCAATGATTGGAGAGTAGCTCTCCAGGGTTTGTGCTCTGCCCGGGGAAGGGCCCTCGGGGGTGGGGCTCCCCGGGGACGTGGGTGGGGGTCTCGGAGGGACTGGGTCTGACGGGAGCGTGGCTCCCCGGTGACGGGAGCGGGGATCCCCGGTAACGGGGGCGGGTCTCCCCGGGA